GAAGGGATAGGGGGAACAGGGGTAGAGCATCTGAGTGAATTGCAATGTATCAGTGACTGGGGAAGGTACAGGGATATTGTTCAAGGAAAAGATAGGTGTCTGTTGGAGAAGTAGGTGGAGATGAATTTGGGGGACGAGAAAGGGGGACTTAGGAAGGTGGTGAAGTATCAGGAAGAATGCCTGGAGGGGAGGGGTCTGAAGAAGGATACTTGTGATAGAGGAAATTTGTGTGATTATTCAAGTGGGAGCGGTAGAGAGGGTGAGGTATGTTGGGAGGGTGTAGGAGGAAGGAAGGTGGAGGGAACTTTAGGAGGAGGAGGATGGATATCTGCAAATACTTTAAATGTAGAAGATATAGGAACAGAGGGACTGGGGGTGGGTGAGAGAGTGGAGTGTTCCCTTGAGTCATCTTTAGGAAGTTTTGGATGCCTTCAAGAGTTTCTGGAAGAGTTTCTGGGTGAAGAGGATTGAGAACAAAGGTTCTCTTGTGAGGAGAAGAGGAGATAGTTATATGAGGAGCAGAAGAAGAGGAAGGTGTAGGAAAGGATGGAGTGGAACATAGGGGAGAGATACTGGGGGAGATGCAGAAATATCTTGTGAAGATGATGGGGGAGCAAAGTGAAGGACTGTTTTGGAATAAGTTGAGAAAGAAAAACCTTGTCGTCATGCTTCTTGTCTGGCCTCACTTAGAGAGAGGCCTAGTTTAAATCTGAGGACTGCTACCTCACATTTGAGCTTATAGGAAGGGCAGCTCCTATAAAATACATTATGGGAGTCTCCAAAATTGGTACATGTACATAATTGAGCAGGGCAGTTTGAACAGTCATGACCAGGTTGGGCACATAGAGGGCAATGGGCTGTGGAGTGACATTGTTTGGCTGGGTGGCCAAAACGCCAACATTTCAGACATTGACGAAGAAGGGGTTGATATGGTAAGACATGGTAGGACTAATAACCATCATAAACTTCATGAGGGAGGTCATGTCTATGAGAGCTAATCTTGGCAATATTGACTTGGAACTTACTCTGGCCTCTGGGAGGAATAGTGTAACATTGTACTGCCAAGGTATCATATTCAGCAAGGCAGGTAAGTAGGTCATTTTCACAGTCTGACCAGTCCTTGTTGTAGATAAGACATCATTCTGCCGTACTTCCACCTGCGGCCTCCCTGTGGGAGGAATAGTGTGTAATAAATACGCTTATCAATTGCCTATGCTGGCCAAGGTATCAATAATTGCGAGACTAAGTTTCTTTGTCTTATTAAGCAAAAATCTAAGAAACAAGAATAACGGCAGAGGTAAAGGGTAGGGAATCACTGTTCCACAGTCACATCACGCTAGAATCACTTGTGTACCGTAGCTATACATGCACTAAGAATAGCTGAGATATAGATTCCCCCCCACCTCTGAGCAGTAAGTAACAAAAAAAATAGATATACAGCTCTATTCCTTCCCAGAGGACACGAGAGTGATGAAGGTTCGGCAGGATATCCAAGTCAAGAAGTATTGTCAGAGCCATTATTAAGGTCAGTTAGGGTAGATAGTGCATGAACTTGGGATTCAGATGTAACTGTAACAAGGCGTGAACAATCAGAGCGCTACAAATGCGAAGGTACTCAGATTCAGTCCTACTTGTTTCTGGAGAGCAGTTGTTGAAACCTCATGACGTTTAATGATAGAGAAGGGTATTTATTCAGAGCACCTTCCAGGAGTGGATCTTCACTAAAGATCACCACTTCCTGGACTTAGGCGCGCAGAAGGGAGTACTGAGAAGAATCTAGAGCAGAGCGTAGCAGGCATGTGGCAGTGCAATGTCATGAGATATAGGGCAGATTGAGGACTGACCTCAGGGCCAAAGTCATAGTATTGGATTTTCGAAAGTACGTTTTCTCGCATGCGCGAGCAGGAGGAGCACATATAGCGGGCCTCTCTTGAAGAATATGGTGAGCCCAATAGTGCCTGGTCCATGAAGAACTGTGGGTTACAAGAACTCTTGAAGACGCCACTGTGCTTAATGAATAGAGAATAGGAGCATGATAATGCTTGGGCAAGAGTTATGGGGAGCGTATAGGGGCCGCTTATAGGAGAGGAATGTGAAGTAATTTATACTACTGATGGAGTCGTGCCACTAACTGAGCATCTCTAATCGGAGAAATGGTTAAGGACGTTCAAAGCTGTGAGGCGATAAAGCACTAGCGAAGAGGTCCCGGTGCTCTGTATATCCAAATACTAGGCGCGTTCGACGCTCTAATATGTGCACGGCACAAGGAGACAAGAAGCATGACGACGTAGGGGATGAGAAATCAATCATATTTACATCATTTCCTAGGACAGGGCTACTTGTCCTAGGATAAAGAGAATCCTCACTGTTGACGCAACCAGCTTTAATGCCATCTTCACAACTGATATTTCTGCATCTCGTTCTCCAAAGTAGCATAAACTCCTAATGTTCTAAATCATCTCCATCCTTTATCCTTACACCGTGTGCACTCTTACTATCTGCGTCCTACGAGTACATTGAAATCATATCTAATATCGCGGATAGCTTAAACCCGCTCGCACATAGAGGAACCTTGTTCTCTATCTCATGGGCTCCCCTCCATTTTAATGCAGCGCAGAAGACCTTGCCAAGAAACTCTTGAAGCGAGCCAATACACTATGACCGAAAGAGATGCTTAACTCATATGGAGACCAACTACCGGAAACTCTCACTACCACTCAGCCCCCACATTCTACTTCTGTTTCTATAGTGTCTCGCACCAGACGTTCTACATCATTCATAAAGTAGTTTTGACAGGATATCCCATTACTCTGCTCACCTCCTAACAAAGTTCAACCTTCCACCTTCCTTTCTCTCCTAACGACCTTCCCTCCGCAACTGCCCACCCTCTCTTACATACCGCGCTCACCCACTTGATAATCACAACAAATTTCCTCTATCACAAGTATCCTCTCTCAGAACCTCCTACCGCCTCCCAAGGCATTGTCCATTTCGTCTCCTGATACTTCTGACCACAATCTCTTCACACGCCTATAGTCCCATACGGAATTCTGCGCGTCAGCAACGAGGGGACTAGAAAGAGATACCACGGAACAACAAAATTCATCAGGACATCGCAACCTATTCGAGAGTATACAACAAAGGAACAGGCACCTATCTTAATGCATCCACTATGAAAACAAGATTATCGCACGTGCGAGGGCTGAAAACCCCACAGTGTCGCCAGAGTCAGCTGACTGATTCTCCTACAGAATACATATGCTGATTCACGGCCTCAGATGCTCTACAACTCTCCCTGTTCCCTATCCTTCGCAAACATGCATCATCAACATTCGCATCACTCCCTCCTCACCAGACCCAAAACCACTTCAGGTGCCCTATGAGTTGGACCACTAAAATATGAGATGGTCAATTGGTGAGTTTGATTGGGTAGGTGTATTAATTGAGCAATCAACTATAAATAGCTACTAACAAGGATGCTTAGAAGATCACCCAGGTATGTTTGAATATTGTTATAATCACTGGTTTTCCCACATATTCCTTGAGCTAACTATAGACAAGATTTTGTAATTTTAAGCAATTGTTGAATATATATGCAAAGTTATCATTGAAGAGATATAAAGTCAGTTATATATTAGAAACTACATTTAGGATATATAAGAAGTAACTAAATTGCTGGACTAGTTGGCTAGTACTCCTTCGTGTGACCCATCTACATGGGAAACCAAAATCATAACACACCTAGCAAAAGAATAAGAGGAATCAAATTGACATGGTCGTATACCTGTGACGATGCTTGTAGATATCAAGGTCATTATGGTTTCAGAATTTAATTACAGGACACACACAGATAGTTAGGCCATATAAATCCATTAAGTAATACCGACATATGCAGATCGCTACTAGATGGCGAAATCCCAAAGAGCAATGTTTGCCTATAAGCTTCTTGCATTAGGGTTGCCAATTAAATATCTTGTCAGAGTGATCCTCCCAGATAAGCCAATGGCATTGTAAACCTATCATCGTGGAGATTATTGGTATATCACCCGTCAACTTGTACACCTTTTAATGTATGAGTCTATTTCTCTATGGACTAGATTTATTTTTTTGGTTATTAGGCAACAGGGATCAGTTTATAGTGTTTGTGTGTATAGTTTTTCTTTATTTTTGATAATCCTTCTCTTCTACCTTTCCTCTCCCCTTTACAAACTAAAATAAATATAGTAGCTTTCTTCTTCAACACTAACCTATTCTCTCCTCTCTTTTTTTTCTATCTTTGTCATCACATCCTCTTTCCTCTCCAGGATCCTTCTCATTAGCTGAAATTCTTCATCTAATGTTTAAGTCGCTTGTATTCATTGTATATTCTTCCACGCCTCTATTTAGCTGTTTCATCCCTCACAGGCTATCACAACCGTCTCTATCTAATGCGAGGATCTCCTCGTTCTTCGTAGTTAATCGAATATATACATCATGGTTCTAAGCCCCTTTTGGACGTACAGATACACCCTAGCATGCCCTCACCTAGGAACGAATATATACGTTTTTCACCTGGCGGATGTCGTCCCTTACCTCCG